GCATCGGGGGCGTCCACCTCCAGTGCAGCCGGCTCACGGCTCCCACGGCCCCGGCAGCCCCCGCGCACAGGCTGGACGGGGAGGCGCTCTGCCTGCCCCCACATTACATCGGCCTGCGCAGCATCATCGACAAGTTCCAGGTCGACTTGACTCTGGACCCCGACACGGCGCACCCCCATGTCCTGGTCTCGGCAGACAGGAAGAGCGCCGTGTTCTCTCCTAAGGGGACGGAGCCGCGCCGCGGGCCCTCTCCCAGGGCCAGCGCCTTCCTGGAGGCCGTGCTGAGCTCCCAGGGCTTCGACGCGGGCAGGCACTTCTGGCAGGTGGACATCAGGGGCTCGGGAGTGTGGTCCGTGGGTGTGTGCGGCAAGTCCTTCCCTGGGAGCGCCCCCACGCCCGCCTCCCCCCGCCACGGCTGCTGGCAGTGCCAGGGCAGCACCGGGATGGGCCTGGCCGCCGTTCGAGTGGGTGTCTTTCTGGACTACGAGCTGGGCGAGATTTCCTTTTACGACCTGAGCGCGCGGTCCCACCTGCGCACACTGCGGGGCACCTTCACGGAGAGGCTGGTGCCTTACTTCTTCGCCGGGTCCTCCGCCCTGTCGGTTGCCATGACTCTAGTGAGCAGGGGCACCAAGGCCCTGTGATCCTGCGGTCCCTGCTCCCCCGACTCGTGCAGAGTGAGTCCATCCGGGGCCTCCTCAAAGGCCAAATGCCCGGCGGGGAGATGCGTGGTGGGAGAAGTGGAGTCAGTAAGGATGGGGGTGCACAGACTGACTCCCCCCGAGACAAGGGGGATCAATTTGCACTCCACAAACACCAAGCTGCCTGGGCAGGATGAAGACCAGCTCACAGGCCACTGCACTTTCCGGTACCAGGCCTAGACTCAGCTCCCGCGTGGCCTGGCTCATCCGCCCCCGCGGGAGTGGCCCCAGAGCTCGCCTAGGGGTCGGCAGTGTAAGAGGAGCCTGCGCTGCTGGTGCAGGGAGGCCAGCGGCAGAGCCAGGGCGCGCGGAGCGGGCGGTGCTGCGCCGCGGCAGGGGGAGGACTCGGGTGAGCAGGTACCTGCTGCGGCAGCACAAGCTCCGTTGCTGCACAGAAGCTTTTTAGTTTGATGCTGTCCCACAGGTTAAGTTCCCCTCTGCTCCCGGCGGGCACACAGAGACAGCAAACGGGTGACAAGGAGCAACCTGAGCTGGGAGGAAGATTTGCTGGTGGGAGAAAAACCTTCCTGGGAGAATGAGGTTCAGGATCTAACAATAATATTGAAAGAACATCGTAACGGGGACGCTCAGCCATCATCATCTTTCAGACAAGTCTGATTAGAAGGTATTTATTGCTGTCAAATTATTATTCACAATCTTCTGAAATGTGGGTCTAAAAATGACATTACTTGAGCGGGGCTGGTATCAGTTTCAACATTGCATCTAATTAGCTCTTCTTTTTTGGTGGAAGATACTGAAACGCCAAATCCAGGGCTGCTTGAATTGTAAATGCGGTTCCTGAGGGGCAGGCTGAGGACGCCCTGACAGGCACCGGAGGAGGAGGCCACGTCTTTGTGGGCTATGCAGAGAACCAGCAACAAGGTAAGAGGAGGAGAGGGCCTACTTGAACGTGACTTTCTTGAAAGACACTGGAACCAGGCCACACACTCCAGCGCTCACTCCCTGGACGACCCGCAGCTGCGTGGCCTGGACCCTGCCCTCGGCCCCACGGTCGTCAGCTAACCAGCATCTCCCTGCCAAACTGAAACGAAACCCCCCCCCGCTGCAGGTGCCCACCAGCTCAGGCCCAGGACGACAGTGACCACGCCCCAGAGTGCAGAGCACGGCCGGACCTTCAGCCAAGGCGAGCCGTGGACACGTGGACTCTGGGACTTCCCCACCCCTGGCCAGTCAGGAAGCCGGATCTCAAGCCACTCCCCGGGAAGGCCTCAAGGAGTCGCTGTTGAGAGACCGTGGAAACTGTTTTCTGTTTTCCAGAATGTGCAGCTTCCTGCCATCCCTAACCAGCCCTGGCCGTCCCCCTGCACCCTCCACCCGCCCCTCACCTGCCTCATCCTGGCTGCGGGGCCTCATCCTGCACAGCTGAGACTCCAGCCCTGGGGTGAGGAGCAGAGCCTCTGCTTGAGGGGCTTCCGGCCTGGTGAGACCTGCAGTGTCTCCAGCTCCGCCAGGACCTGAGGCGGGACCGAGGGGACGGTCCGTGGCAGGTGCTCGGGCGGGGGGCAAACTGGATGCTCGCACTGTCCACTCTTTGTTCTTGAATGCCCAGACCACTTGTAAAGTGAGATATTCCTTCAGACATTTTCTCCAGAGACCCGCTAGTATCTTTTTAAGAAAAATATTTTCTGCTCGGCGGCAAAGCTGCTAAGCTATTGAGCCGCTGCTGAAGGAAGCTGCTCCTTGTCGCTACTTTTTCCCGGTCCTGAGACTTCAGAGAAACCGGGAGAGCAGCCGGGGAGCTGGAGCACCGACGTCCGTGCACAAGCAGGCAAGTCAGCAAGACATTTAAGACGTCAGCTTCGAATAGAAACAGCCTCAACTATATTGCATTCATTTATTTCATTATGTGATGTTTATATGCTTATCATTTAAAATATCCAAGCAATCTGCAGAAGGTGAAAGTAAAAAATACCGTGAACCCTTCTCACCGGGAGCCAGTGTTCAAGTGGCTTGCTTGGTTCTCAAGATCCTCGCTCTCCCTCTCTCTCTGGCTGATTGTGCAATACCTCTTGCTCGCTAGCTGGCTTTTGATATTTACCAACATGTCTTAGGCATATTTGCATATCTGTTACAGCTCGGTATTTTTAACAGCTACTTGGAATTCCACAGCTTACACGCCTGTCTTTCTTACAACTAGAATTCACCAGCCCAGAAAGAGTGTGTCCCATTTCTAACGTGCTTACTGCAGCTTGCCGCCCTGCTCTGCCGCCGTCACTGGCGGAATTAAAAGAACTTCTGTTCCACACCCGCATCAGCAGCTCATTTCTCCTAGAGCCCTGGACAGCATTTTAGCTAACCCCATGCGATTCCACTTCCAACTTCATAAATAAAAGCTCTTCCAAGGGGTTCCATCTGCGTCCCTTTCCTGCTGCCCCCCGTAGACTGGGTCCCGGGGTGTAGGGTCCTCCTGTCCGCAGCAGTGCCCGGCACCTGCTATGGGTTTGCTGCGTGAATTATTGAATGAAGGGTGGGAAACAGCTAATTCAGACGTACTTGTGAGAACTGATTAAAAAGATAAAAATGAAGAGTCTGTGTGGTGAGAGATAGTCAGACCTGCTTCTCAAATACCTTCGATGGGTGGGAATTGCTTATCTCCCCCCAGAAGGTCCTCCCAGCACTTGCCAGAGGAAGGTCTTGCAGGTCCACACTACAATCAGGCCCTCGGAGCAACAGCAATGGGAAGTAAATGCAGCCATCCCCGAGCTTCTCAGGCAGCCCAGGGGCTGACGCTGTGATTACAGCCTGGCTGAGGAGGCATCAGGGGGCCTGGCGGGAGGGCGCCCCATGGGGCTGCTCCCGTCTGAGCTCTTGGACGGCTAAATTGCCCTCCAGCACCTACGGCAACTGGAAACCCTGCAATTTTGTCTCTCTGGCAACCAGCAATTTCTCATTTGTTTTATTTACTCAGTCACCCCAGCAGAGAGGGCTTCGTCCTTGGGCCCCGTCCCTCTGCACACACCCCGGCTCCCTCTCCGCTTCTCAGCCACACCTCACGCCCTGCAGTCCAAATGCCACCTACCCGCACAGGGCGGGCAGTGATGGGGCGTCTCTCCCACACACCACTTTCATCTCCGCCTTTCTGAATCTGCACACGCTTGCCAGGGGCCTAAATAACCCTGTCCCCACTAGCCAGGGCGAGCCCCGCAGCCTAAGAGCCCGGCGTTGGTTGCTTTGCTGAGCCATGGACGTGGGGTGCACGCCAGGCCACACCGAAAGTCCCAGCTTCTCAGACAGCCCCGGTCACAGTCACAAGTCAGCCTTGCAGGGGGCAGGCACTAAGTCCATCCCTGAGGTCCACCAGGCAGCACAGGCCTGGGGAAGTGACTGCGGCGCCAGCACCCTGGGACCAGGGCAACCACGCGAGGTCTGAGTGTGAAACTGGACGCTCCAGGGCTGACGCCTCCACCGGGGCCTGCCCTTCACCCCGCCAGTGCTGGGGAGCAGTACCTGCGTCTGCTGATCTTCTATCCTGACTCCCTGATGGTCGCTTCCCCTCCAGGTGCCACCCGAGTGCCCGGGCATCCTGGGCATCCCTGCGTCCGCAGAAGTGCAGCCAGGCTCCCTGGGGCGGGCAGGGACTCGGGCAGGTGTGGCTAGGCTCCGGGCCTGGCACCCATGCCCGGCACCTGTGCCCGCTGGGCCTTCCAAGTGACCCCGCAGGCCTCTTTCACTGGCCCCTCGGGCGTGGGGCAGCACAGGGCCCTCCTCGCCCTGCTGGCTGTTCCAAGTCAGGGTTCCACATAAGGGTTGCTTTGGTATTTTTCAAAACCGCTGCCTTTCAGTGAGTCCTAAAGACCATGACACGCAGGAGGGGCTGCCCTTCGCTACCCTTTGCTGCCCTTCACTGCCCTTCGCTGCCCTTCACCCCGACCAACCCAGCAAACACTTCTAGCACAGGCGCCTCACGGGACGTCTCCTTCTCCGCGGCTGCGGCTATTTGTTCCCCAGCTCTGCCTCCGCAAGAACACGGCTCAGCCCACTCACACTTATATGGAAAGGGCCAGAGCCTGGAAAAGCCCGTAGGGGCTCGCACAACCCGCAGACGCCCAAGAAAGGCCCTGCTGGTGCCCACCACTGGCGCCGGGACCCATTTTCCGCGGCGTCGTCTCCTTAGGGCGGGGGCGCTGGTGCATGCATCAGACGCTCCTCCCAAAGGGGCACATGCGCCGGCGGGTCACCTCCGCTGCTCCTTCTGCAAACTGCGCACCTGCCACGCGTGCCGGTCGGTGGACACGGCCGCTGACCGCCCCGGCCCCGCGGGCCCACTCGCGTCCTTACCAGGTGCAGGAGGGAGCTTCCGGAGCCGACGGGGGCGAGCGGGTCGGCCCCCTCCTTCAGCAGCCTCAGGGCTGAAAGAACAAGAGAGGAGAAGGGTTAAGGCGCCTGCTCTCCTCCACCCCTCGGCCAGCGGCTGCGGCCTGACCCCAGACGGGTGTCACCGCAGGACTCTCGGCCCCGGTTTCCCAGCTCCGACCTTCACGCGTGGCTTGGACGCAGCCACCCACGCCCGCCACGCAGCTCCCTCCAAAGGGGAGACAGTTCGTGGCTTGTTTTTTGAAATGTGCAGTTGATACACGGTTGGCGGCGCCAGGGAGGACAGAAAGGACTGGCTGCGCTGGGCTCCTGCGGGAGGCAGGCTGCCACATCTGGCTGTTCTGCTGGGACCCCCGGCTCGGCCCAGGAACGCATGTGCCAGCCCGCGGAACCAGCTCCCTGAGACCAGGCGGGACAGAGCCGCTGGACCAGCCACGCAGGGAGCCCGGGTGTGGCCAGTAAATCAGCAAGCACAGCCCACGGAGGCCCCGGCCGGGGGACGCGGTCACACCCCACAGCAGGCTTGGGGGGCGGGCCCAGTCGGGGCTCAGCAAGTCCCCAGAGAGTGACAGCCATGAAGTGGGGTGCGTTTTCCTCTTCCCCAACACCTCCGCCAGGTTCAGGCCTCTGCCAGGTGGAGGGAGGGGGAGTGGAGGGAGAGAGGAGATGGTGGGCGGGTGGAGGGAGGGAGGGAGAGACATGCATTTACAAGGCGCCGCACACGTCACTGACGCAAACACCGCGCTCCACAAGAACACACACTGGCAGCGTGTCCGGGACGCGTCCCCATAAGCGCCATGTGAGCAGCTGAGTCTTGCAGCTGTGCCTGGTGATTCCTGTTGAACTCCTGTGCCCACGGCCAACCTGGGCCACATCGGTGTGACCTTGGCATTTTCACCGGGTAACCAAGGGCCAGGGGTCACAGACCACGGCTGCCCAGACGACCTTTGAACTAAGAATGCTCGTCAACTTTTAAAGAGTTTGAAAGAAAAAACCCTGCGAATCAGAAAAGGTCGTGCCACACAGACGGTCTTCATCTGGCTCCCGAGACCGAGGGGGCCGCGGGGTGGGTGGGGGAAGCCACCGCTGGGCCAGCCGCAGCTTTGCTGGGTCATGTGACGGTCTGGGGGACACCTGACCCGTCTCTGACCCGTCTCCCGGTGTGTCTGTGTTGCCCACAGAGTGGTGGTCACTGGCGCATCTTCAAGTAGTCTCCACCGCAAACGTCCACGCCATCTCCTTAACTCGACGGTTAACTGGGCAACAAATCAGACTCCGCTCTGAGGGGGTGGCCCGGTCTGATCCTCCACACGGTTGATCTCCCCTGTAGCTGATCCCAGAGACTGCGGGACGCTGAGGAGGGCGCACTCCCATGGCTGCGCCCCGCCTGCCGTGAGACACAGCGTCCAGGGCGGAGGGGAAAATGAGCTGACCCGGGAGGGACGGCTGTCACGTTTTTATTTTGTTCCTAATACAGTCTGGTCACTGGTGGCCACATACATTTTAGTTTTCAACACAGGCTTTGTCTAGCTGCTTGCAACCCCCTCGCCAGCCACTGACACTCTAGTAACTGACTCAGACATCACGCCGGGGAGAAAAAGACAGTAGGCTGGGCCTTCCCCTTCCGAGGGCTGTTTTCTGAAAGGACTGTTCGCCTAACGAGGCAGCTGAAAACGCAGATTTTCATACCGTTTACACGTGAGCGAATGCCACTGTCCTAAATCTAACTTCAGCGCCACATTAAACACACCCTGTAGTGACATCTGACAAAGCTGCATTTATAGAAAATTTAATGTCAATGATTTTATGCGTATAAATCCTTTTGCGTTTTTCAATAATCCCGCGGTAGGAAGGGGCAACTTTGGAGGATAAGTTTTCTTATCTGCGTAATAGTTACTCGCACATCTGTTCCGCAGTGCGAGACCGACGGCAGTCCACCGCGGGGCTGGCCGGCGCGGCCAGCGAGTTCTGGGTGTGGCTGCAGTAGAGCGGCCGCTGTGGGTCAGCACCATGGACGCCGGCCACCGCGGCAGGAAACCGGGCTCCTGGGCCGCTTGCTCCCACTGCTTTCCAGGCTCACGCCACCCTCTGCCTTTCCTTCGAAGCTCGTTCATCAGGACGGTTTTCCTTTAGACGCAGACACATCCCCCATTAAGCATTTATAACTGTTGTCCCCTGAGACGCTCACGTACAAAAATATGTACGGCGTGACGCACTCAGTCAGAGATAAATAGCCCCGCGGGAAACGATCGATTCCAATCTCACACTAGCCCGAGAGACGGAGCCCGGGATCCCCCGCCAGGGCACCTGCGGCAGGAGCTGCCCGAGGGGACGTGCGGTCAGAGCGTGGCTTCACGTGAACTGCCCTCCGCACGCAGTCACCAGCGCCGAGCCCCCTTGGAAGGCTTTATTTGAATTATTTTCAGTTTGTATCTTTACATTTTAAAAGCCCTAAATTACGTACACCAGGAAGTCACCCGGCGAGGCCAGCCCTGCTGGGAGAAGCCGAGGACAGCGCGGTTTCGCGGCAAGCGCTCAACTGGACGCCACCGTTTAGGGGGCGGGTCGAGAGCGGACTCTGGTCCCGAGTCAGGTCTGCTTAGCTTGAGTCGAGGCTGGGCATTTACATACTGAGTCTTGCTGCCGTTTGCTGAAAGTGCAGCGAGGCTAAAAGTGAAGAGAAAACCAGAGGCCAGGGGAGCGCCCGGGCTTCGGGGCCATTCCAGAGCCATGTTGCTGGAAACCCCGCCGTCCTATCAACACAGAGACACTGAAAACACATCTGCTGTTGCCACGAAAGGGGCACTTTTTGGGCTGCCACCCAGCCCACCTCTAAGCCAACACACTTGCCCAAGAGCTCAGGCCCTGACGGGGGTGACAACCTCAGCTTCTCCCCGGTCGACCTCTAGTCGCCGAGAGGAAACCTGTCACCGAGCGGGCTCAGTCGCCCCTCCTCAAGCAGACGCGGGCCTTGCTGAGAACACAGGTTTAACTGGCCCTAGACACGGGCCGACAGCGGCTTCCCTGCCCGCCGGGCACCGCGCCCCGGGAGTCCTTGCTTTCTCCCCTTAAATAAACCTTGCTTTCTGAAAGTCTGTTTCTCTCTGCCTAATGATCTAACATGTCTGTCAATTCCTTGGAACGGCTTCGTGGAACAAGAACCTGGGGTGGCTCAAGGGCTAAATGAAGAGCGCACCCCACGTCCACGTCTGCAATAGCAAACCCAAAGCAGAACCTCGCAGAGGGGAGGACAGGCCCACGCAGCAGCCAGAGCTGACCCTTGCGAGGCCAAGAATGAGCACACGGGCCGGACGCCCTGAGCCGCGGTGTCCAGGCCCCCCCAACGCCCGCCGGGCCACGCTGCCAACGTTAAACGGTCATTTTGTTTTAAAACAAAAGAATTTCAAGAGGCATCTTGGATCTTTTCAGAAACAGCCACTTTTCAACGTTTTGTTCGATACTGTGCGGTGTCTACACACACCCTGCACGTGAAATTACTCTTCACAGGACAGTGGGGGGCGTGGGGGCACGGGATGGCGTCTCCCTGGATCCAGTACCGGACACAAGTGGTTGCGTGAAATGAATGGGTCAGAAATGGAAATTAAATGGAAAACACCATTTATTCCATTTTATAAAGATCGCCTGGGATACCCGGCACAATACCCAGCTATCTTTAAATGTCTTTTTATCTTTTACATGAAAGGTTCTCATTCCGCTACCAGCCAATTCCACGGCATGAAAGAACACTCCCCACTATTTCCAACACTGCTCTTGCCCCACAATTTGCCCTTGGATTTGGGGGGCCTTGCCTTTGTGCGTTGGGTACCACACCCCCAGAGGAGCCCAAAGGTGCACAGGTGGAGGGAATGTGTATTTTGAAAAGCCCTATAGATATAATTTCCCTCCATTACATCACCCAGAATATTGTTACAAACGGATTTATACTTCCAAAAGGAGCCCACTATCCAATCCCATCAGTTAAATAATCCTATAGCTTTTTAAATACATTGCAAGTTCTTTATTATATATTTAGGGTTTTTTTTAAAAAAGATTTATTTATTTTTATTTATTTATACAAGCACTGGGTACAGTCAGAAGTGTGGGAGGTGAGAGAATTCACCAGAGAAACAGAGTGGGGAACAGAACAGGCAGACTGACGAAGTACACTGCTGAGGGGAGCAGCAGGTGAGGCAGGAGAGGTCTGCGCGCCATCTGGGACCCTCGCTGGCTGGCCAGGATCGAACCGGCGCTGCAGAGGCTGTGGACAGCTTCACAGCATGGCGCTCAACCGCCTGAGCCACCAGGGGAGGCCCTATTATACATTTAGTTTTAACCAACCCCAATATATGGTCATTATTTCAGGCATGTCCAGATTCCCGCCCACCTCTAGTATCATCCCTGCAAACTTGTGTGTGCCGCGTAACCGCCCATGGTTATAAGAGCTTCATTTTTGTTTTACATTAGAACCCTGGATTTTCAAATCATCAAAAATATTTTAGATTATTATCACACTCCATGGTGATGAATAAAAGGACTGTCAATGCAATTTTCTATATGTGAACTAAGAAAGCATTTAAGCCTCAAACTCAGGAAAAGATAATGGCATTTTATTTTCATCGGATCAAAATGACCAAGCAACCTTGACGCCTCTAACACTGGGTGCATCGCCTGAGCTCGGCTGATACCCCGGCAGCCAGAAGATGCTGGGACTAAGCAGGCGCTGGAGGGAAACAAAGTGACATTGCTGAATATTAGGGGCTGAGATGGCATCGAGGTGGGCAAAATGTGGAGTGGCTGAGCAGCGGGGTCAGGACAGAGCAGGGAGACTTCACCGCAGGGAAGAGGGAGAAACGACCTTCCTCCCCGCCCGCCTGGAGACAGCAACAGACAAGCGGGCAGCGAGGGGAGAGCTGGTCCCTCACACCCCAATGCCCGGGCTCACCGGAGACAGGGGCCCAGCGTTCTGCAGTAATCTGATTATCTTCACTGCTGATTTCCCAAGCAATCAGTTCAAGCAGTTTAAAATAAAATCGGT